TTGGGCATGCCAGGCAAATGCTATACCACTGAGCTACAGTCTTAGCCCAGGACTTCAGATACTTTTACTGAACTTAACTCTAGAGTCATGTATCCAATTGCCTATGATTAGCCTCACCATTTCAATATCCTAAAGAACCTCAAAAAAGTTTTTTTTTAATGGTGCTGGGGATCAAACCCACGTCCTTATACACTTTAGGCAAGTGCTCTAAGCACTCAACTACTGAACCATATCCCCAGTCCTTAAGACCTTCAAATTTAACAGCTCTATCTAAAGACAAGTTCCTAACCTTCACCCCACACCCGTCTCCACACAAAACATGCTCCACTAACTGACTTCTTTATCAGAGGAGGCCTACTGTATATTTAGCTGTGGCCAAAAACCTTGGGATGATTCTTAACTCCTCTTTTTCTCTCCACACTGAATCCATCAGCAAATCCTGTCAGCCCTTCAACTATACACAGAATTTGATTATTTTTCACCACTTTCACTTGTCACCATCACCTTTCATTTTCTCTATTTGGCTTTTAAGAGATAATAACCCCTTAAAGAGTCACCTTGACTTCCCCCCCCCCCCCCCCCCGAGTACTGGGGATTGAACCCAGGATTTTCACACTTAGCTACATTCCTAGTCTTTTATTTTTAATTTTTGAGACAGGGTCTCACTAAGTTGCTAAATTGCCCAGGCTGGGCTTGAACTTGTGATCTTCCTGCCTCAGCCACCAGAGTGCTGGGATTACTGGTGTGCACAATCACATCCCAGCTCCTACAATCTGTCTTTAACAAAGCAGCCAAAGTAATACATTAAAAATGGAAGTCAGGCTGGGTGTGGTGGTGCATGCCTGTTAGTCCCAGCACTTGGGAGGTAAAGGCAGGAGGACTGCCTCTAGTTCCAGGCCAGCCTGAGCTACATGAGTTCAAGGCCAGCCTGAACTATACAGTGAGACTCTGTCTCAAAAAACAAAAACAACTAAAGAAAATGGAAGCCAGATGTCACATCTCTGGTCAAAACCCTCCAAAGGTTCCTATTTCACAGAGTAAAAGCCAATCTCCCCAAAGGTCCTACTGTGTGTGGCTCACCCTCTTTTCCCTATCATGTCGGATGGCACATCTTCTACCCTTTTCTCCTTTGTTCACTCAGCTTCAGCCACAGTGGCCTCCTGGAGAATGAGAAGAATGGCTTCTCCCCCAACACCATACAGACATAGATACACACACACACACACACACACACACACACACACACACACACGCGCACACCAGCACCTTTTCATAGGTGATCTTTTTCCTCAAAGAGCCCTAAAGAGCCCTTCCCTGACCACTCTACTTAAAACTGCAGTCTCAGTCCTACTTCTTTACCCCTTTCCTGGTTTATTTTTATCCATTGCACTATTTTTTTTTGGTACCAGGGATCGAACTTGGGACCTTGCACTTTCGAGGCAGGCGGCGGCACCACTGAGCTAAACCCTCCCGCCCTATCCATTGCACTTTTTACCATCCTTACATTTTACTTATTTCCTGATTCTCCCTTAGCCTACCAGAGCAGGGATTTTTGTGTTGTGTTCACTATTGAATCCTTGGTGTCTACAACAGTACCTGGGGGTCAGTAGGGTCTCAATAAGCAAATGTTGGATGAATGACTCTAGACCTTTTTCATGCTATCATCTTCACTTGGAATAACCCTAAAGATACTCTTTGTTTAACAACCCACCTATTTAATGACTGTTCCACTTACAACCCATCTTTTTTATGGTACAGTTCTGTACATATTTTTGATGGAGCCTCAAGGTCTTTTTTGTACAGAACACCTTGTTTACACAGTACTGTAATTTTTGCTTATTGTACTGTATAGTACAGTACTGTAGCTTTATGTTCTATTATACATTACAGTACTGCATGTGAGAGTTATGGAAATAAAAGCAGAGTTATCAAGTTGGAGTTTCCTCTGACCATTTCTTTGTTCTAAACATTGTAATGTACATATTATATGAAATTCCTCATTTAGTGACCAATTCATTTAATGAACTAGTTGCAAGAATAGAAATTGGCCATTAAATGATGAACATCTGCATTAAATCTTACTAATCATTCTGAATCCAGAGTTTGGATTAGGAAAGGTAAAGAACAGGTACAGAGAAAGAAGTACAACCCCAATGTGGATGACAGTAAGCAAACACAGCACACAGCTATTTTAAAATGGTTTCAGTTTCCAGGCCAGATAAAGTATACTCCTTGGGGCTGAAAGAACTTTCAAATAAACGAAAATTTGAACAAATATGGAAAAGACTAGTGATTAGATAATGTATTGATTTTCAGAGAAAGACAGAGAGAAAGAGAGAGAAGAATAAAGATTCTTCAATCTACAGATAAGTAGTATTCAAGAATAAATTATTGAATAAAAAGTTTGTGAGCATTTAGGAAAAAAATATAGTAATCCTTAGAGACATAAATGGATTTCAATTACCATATGCTAAACTATGATGTCCTTTTGTAATGAGAGTACTAAATTGGAGGGTTGGATATGGTTGTGAACAGTGTATCTGGATTTTAGCAAAGACTAACAAAATCTCCTATGATTTTATTATATATAAGATAGAAAGATATTGGTTACATTATTGTGTTCTGTTTTTTTCCCAGACGGTGGAAAATTATATCTTCACAACTAATGATTAGAGGTGGGGAGCAAGCCTGGAGAAAATTTTTGCAGGAAGTGTTATGTTAGACTTTGGTTTTAAGCATTTTAACAATGATTTTTACAGTTATTCTGAAGAAGGTGGAGGGCATAGCTCTCTTGTCCGTTCATCATAGGAGGTTGGCATGGATGACAGATGGAAAATCATGTCAAGACTCAAGATGATCTCGTGGGATCATGATGGCTTTTTAAATGACTTTTAAATGATGTATTAAAACAAATTTAGGGCCAGGGATTTAGCTCAGTGGTTTCACCACCTGCTGCGTAAGCGCAAGGACCTGAGTTCAATCCCCGGTACCAAAAAAAACCAAACAAATTTAGAGTTAGTGGTAGACTCTGTGAGTCCCCGCCTCACCAGGAAACTACTAAAGTTCCTGTGGAACCAAAGTAAAATTATATAAGAACATAATGGATGGTGAGGAGAAAACCTATGGTGGCCATGAAGGCCCTGATGCTATGTATGTCAAATTGATATCTTCTGATGGTCATGAATTTATTGTAAAAAGAGAACATGCACTAACATCAGGAACAATAAAAGCCATGTTTAGTGGCCCAGGTCAGTTTGCTGATAACAAAACCAATGAGGGCAATTTTAGAGATCACTTCACATGTGCTTTCAAAAGTTTGCATGTATTTTACCTACAAGGTTCGGTACACTAACAGCTTCACTGAGATTCCCGAATTTCCCATTGCACCTGAAATAGCACTGGAACTGCTGATGGCTGCGAACTTCCTAGATTGTTAAATAAAATAAATTATAATAAACTTAATTTTTCAGTATTTAATACTTGTAGTTCAGTTACTAATTTTTTCATATAAAGCATGTTGCCTGTATGCAATTGAATTGTAAAGTTAATTGCAAAGCAGATCATCTTGTTTTTTTGCATAGCAATCTGTTGAAATTTGTTTGCCACATCAGCAAATTAAGGACATTTTCACAAACAAAAATAAACAGATATGCCAATTCGTAGGTGGTTTTGCCTTATCTTTTGGATGTAACTTTTAAATTAGAATGATGACGATATAGCAAATGCTGAATGTAGGCATAAATGAACATGTTCTACAAGTAAATGATGGGGCTAAGTATTTTTATGTTTTTAGTGTTTTTCTTTAAAGTTCTCATCATAGCTGCTGATAGTATTTCTAGAGTTATGCAAATAATTACATGATAAACATGTTTATAACTTAGTCAAAACATTTTTTATAACTAAAAGAATAAGAGTTTTTCTTAAATGTGTTTTTTATAAACTGCAGTATTGTTTAAGTGTAAAAAAACCAAAACAAAAAAACCAAAACAAATTTAATAGTGCAAACTCACTATATGTTTAGGTTCAAAAAGGCTATCAGTATTAAAGAAAAGTGAAGATTGGAATTGCCTTTAGGTGATTACAGTACACGTTCAATATGAGCACTAGGATACTGCCTGATTGAAAAGCAGAGCAAACTGGAGGCACACTTTAATCAAAGATGTGCATTTTACTGCACCCTGCAGGCCAGACCATATGTAGTGTGCTCAGTAGAAAGTCCAGATGTCAAGAAGCCTTTCAGCAAAACTGACCTAAGGATGAGCTGAAGAAAATGAGTATTTCTGGCTTGCAAAATAGGAAACTACAGAGAGACAGTAAGTAGAAAGATGTCCAAATATTTGCCTGGCTCCAAAAGGCTGTTTCTCAAAATGACCAAATTAGATGCTCCAGGGTAAGGGAGCCATTCTAAGTACAAGCCACACTGGAGGCCAGTGTGTAAACCAGGCTTGGGAGCCTGGGCCAAAGGATGTTCTAAAGACCCCTCAACCCCAGTCCAGAGTGTTCGTGCTCACTGATGCCCCTGGCGGGCAGCACAGGTCGAAGACCCAGCCTGTCTTTCCCAGAGCTCTCAGGCACCTCCCGGATCTGAACGGCCTGGGGGGTGGGGGGGAGACCACAACGACGCGACAACTGTTTGGGCCCATCACCGTCCCTTAGACCCTGGGCCACACCCAGAAGCTCAGAACTAGCTTGCTGGAGAATCTGCCTGCCCACTGCTGACGTCACGTGCGCAGAAGCACGACCTGCCGCTTGGCGCCCAGTCCAGCTCCCACAGGAGAGAATGGGAACCCCGCAGACCCCATTTCGGATCCCTCTAGGGGGATTCACACTTTATGGTCACATACAACTTCCTAACTCTCCAGCTTCCCAACAGCTTCCCTATTTACCCACTATTCCAGAACCCCCCCATTCCCCCGACCCTTTCAAAGGTCTCTTAACACCATTCCTCCATGAACACCTCCAAACCTTGTCCGCCGCAGTCAGCACGCACAGCTCCTCACCTGTAGAAGGCCATGTTGACCTTCTTCTCACCGGGGAAGCCCAGCATCCCGCAGATCACGTGGCTGTTGTGGGGGCTCCAGCCTTTGTCACACACTTTCAACCAGCCATCAGGAAGCCTGACTTCAACCAAACCCTCAGTCACAGGTAGGGGTCGCCTACCCCACCCAACGGCTGGTCTAAGTCGCACCTCCTCTACTTGCAGGTGATGCTCCACCTGGGGATGGGACCAAAAGTAGGGAAGATATCCCAGTAGCACCTCTCACATGTTCTGTTATCCTTAAAGAACACTGAATGTGCTTTCTGTAAACCCAGGGGTGGGATGGGACTGAGGCAGGGCTGAGGAAGATTTATGCTCCCTGTCAGTCTGGGGTGTGTGGGCTCTCCTGTAGCTGGGAATGGAGTTATGCTGTGCTTGTAGACATGGTCAAGGGTGGGTGGGAAAGACAGAACTATGCCCAGAGCAAGGGGGAGCACATTACAGAAAAAGTGGCTTTGAAGGAGGAGGAAGATGTTCCAGGAGAGCACGAACACATGCAGAGAGGGCACTGGATGCCCCTTGGGGTGACCGGGAATGAAGGTGGAGAGGCTTATGCCAAGTTTAGTAACTTGAGTGGTAATACTGAAGGAAAAAATCCTTGGATTTATAATCTGTCATTTGATCCCCTCTTCCAAGACTACAGTATCCCATTAGGGCCTGTGGGATTTCCTACCTTCGAATATCTTCTCTAACCACATTTAGCCACCCTTACAGCCCTTTTGACTGACCATCCTGGGTAGAGTGAGTGTGTTCATGCATTCATGCATGTACTGCAGACCTCGATGATATTGGAGTCCGAGAAGCCTGGGAGGCGCTGGTCCTTGCAGATGACCCCAGAGTCCTCATCATGGGTACAGTCACTATTCCCCCAGCCCCGGGAGGCACATTCAGTCACACTCTGCTCAGTCCCACGGCAGCTCAGGTTGTCCAGCCAGATGCGGCCTAAGGAAGGCGACATGGAGGGATAGAGAAGCTTGGGGAGGGAGGATAAGGGAAGTAATACTTGGGGGCCTCACAGTTGGTCATGATAATGATCCCAAGAGCCTGGTAGGAAAAGGAGTGGAGAAGGTACAAGAAACCCTGGAGAGGAAGAGGGAAGGGGACATAAAATTGATGGAAAATTGGTGATCTGGTGATACTTAAGAATTTAATAGGATAAATAAAAAAACCAAGAATCAACAATGAAGTTCTGATCAGTCCTTACTCATTCAATGATAACTAATAAAGTACCTATTGTGTGCCAGACAGTCTGCCATGGTGTGTACTCTTAATCATTCTTAGAACAGGGCTGCCAGAAGACCTTTTTATATAAATAGAATGGGTTTCAGAGAAGTAACTTGCCTAAGACAACACAGCCACTAGGGGCTTAGGACTTTGCCTGTCTATAAGACTTGGAAATCTAAGATTCTTTCACTTCACCATGACATTCTCCCACATGCTCATCCTTACTGTGCTGCCATGTAGTCTTTTGTTCTTTCTGCCTGGACCATATTGAATATCACTGACTTCCTTTCAGAATTGGGAGGAATCTCAAAAGTTTAGACTTTGATGCCATCCAGAAAAAAACCTCAGTCACATGACTGTCCTTCCCATATTTGAAGAGAACCATCATGTAACTGCAGTCTGAGGCTTTTTCTTTTTGTAACAAACCTCTTATTTATTCAGCTATCCCTTCTGAAACTTGGTTTTTGAATCTTTCACATCTGAGCAGCTCTCCCTGGAAAGAGACAGCTGCTCTCTACTGTCCCTCTTAAAATGTAGCATCTACAAATGACATTTTATTCCAGAGGTGGTCTAGTTAATGGGAAATGGCTGTAGCCACTTCTGTCCATCATTCCTAGAGTGGGTCCATGTGGTGTCAGAATTTCAGTGAGCACATCACTTAAGCACCTCCTGTACCCCCAAACTTATCCTAAGTTGTTTCCAGCTTGTTAGTTTACTCTCTGGTCTGTAATCTGATTTTGTTAGCTATGGTATCTGTGTTGCCTTCTGGCTTTGGGACATTCAGACATTATTTACCTGTTCTCAGATTCCCTTGAAACCAACTGTATTTTAATCATAAGGAGTCACCTGTATCTGGAATGCCCTTGTGCATAGCTTTGTTGAACCATATTTTTGTAGCAGAAAAGAACTTAGAGATCAACTAGACTTCGTGCATATGGTGCATCTGAGGCTCACATAATGAACTTAAGGTCACAAAGCTGTGGAAGTAACTATGTTGGTTGGTTTATTTGACACTGGCTGTTTTTGATGTCCCATGTCCCTGTGGCTATATCATCCTGCTGTTCTCTCTCTCTTTGAAGTTAGGGTGAAATTAGGTAATACCTAGGCTATGCCTGGAGCATTGCTCACCTGTTCCAGGGCCATATTTGGCACTGTGGGTCCAACCTGTGGCTTCTGTGAAGCCCAGCTCCCGGCAGAGGACATGGGCTGCCTGCAGTGTGAAGTCATCATCACAGATGGTGCCCCATTCACCAGCTCGCTGTATTTCCACTCGACCCTCGTAGGGCTTCCTAGGGAAGCCAGCCAGCCGGAACCGCAGCCCCTGGCTTCCCATCTTCTTGTCAGGGGCCGTGGAGGGAGATGGAGACCCCAAGCACCGGCTCAGCTGGCACAGCAGCAGCCCCCATGGGCTCCACAGGCAAACACTGACAAATCTCATGGCAGGGAAGGAGAGAGAGAGAGAGAGAAAGAGAGAGAGAGAGAGAGAGAGAGAGCGAGCGAGCGCTCTAGTGAGAGAGAAGAGAATGAGAGAGATCTGAGACCAACAGACAATGACAGAAAGAGAAACACACACTAAATGAGGGCAGAGACGCAAAGTCAAAGAGGCATAGCTTTAGAAACCCAGATTGGGGGTAGGGAGGGGGCTCTCCTTTTCCTTTTGTAAATAATAAAAATTTTATAATTAACAGTTATGTCCCACAACGTCCTCCCCTAGTTCTGTCATTTTTGTTGTTGTTTTTGTTTTTTTGAGACAGGGTCTTGCTATATAGCCCAGACTGGCCTTGAACTCACTATGTAGCCCAGGCTGGCCTTGAACTTGTGACAATTCTTTTCCATCAGCTTCCCAGGTGTTGAAATTACAGGTGTGCACAACCACATCCAGCTAGTTCTGCCATCTTCAGCTCCATTCACCCCCACTCAGCAGTTTGAGAGACCCAAAGATGAAAATGGCAGAGGTTAGGGACCAAGCGTTGGAGAATGGTCAAGATAGAGACTAAGAAGAGACATAGAGAACAAGAACCAGACAGACAGGATGTGAGAGGAAGGGAGACTGTGGGAATGAAGGGATAAAAACAGAGGCTGGGAGAGACATGTTGAAGATGGATAGAAGGTGGTAGTGAAAGAACCAAGAACATGTATTGAGGAGCAAGAGGGAGAAGGGGGGAGAGCAGAATACAAGTGAAGGCAGACCAGCAAGAGCTGATGAGCAGACCTGGGAGAGATAACTAGATGACTCCATTTAGCCAGCTAGATGACAGACAGCTGTACTGATTGTGGAGAGACGCAGGCAAGGGGGCCTACGAGACCCTGAAAGGGAGCCCTATCTGGGCAGAGTCCCAGAAGGGGAGGGTAGACACCAAGGAGTGCATGGAGAAGCCACTGCACTCAAGCTCTCAGATGCTTTGCAGGGTCAAGGGGCCTGAAGGGCTAGGCCTCATGCTGGGCAGGGAGTGAATGGGGTGGGGTTGTCTCCTGCAGGCTAGGGCTCCCTATCATTATCGGCTCATCAGCCAAGGCCTTCTCTGGCCAGGGCTGAGAACAGCCCCTCTCTAGCGAGGGGGCCCTCTGAACATGCTTCCCCCAACAAACAGCTTAACAAGACAGCTTTGTTCTGGGGACATTGTGGCTTGGGAGTCCAGGGGTAGGGCCTCACGAAGGGGTCCCCAGCCTTGGGCCCTCCCACAGCCTTATATGGAACATCCTACAGCTCCCCGAACCCCAATATCTGCTTCTCTCTTCACACTTCCGTGTCTCACTCTCCTCTGACAATAATAAAACTCTCAGTTGGTTGGCTTCCCCGACTCCATCCCTGACCACCCCTTTTCCCTCCTCCCTCCTCCATCCTCTGCATCCCCAGCTCCCCTTCCTCTGGCGGCAGTGTGACTCCCCTACCTTTGGCGGTCAGAGCCCTAGGGGCTGGGAGAAGAGTCCTGATCCTGGAGATTAGTCCTAGGACTTCCAAAAAAAGTGCTCGGCCAGGGGAGACTGGACCCCCCCTTTCTCCCCCCTCTCGGTTCGTCCCTCCCACGTCCCCTTGAGCCCTCCCACATTCCGCTTTCTCGCTCCATTCCTCCGCTGGCCAGTTTCCTCCTCTCCTCTAGGTCCTCCCCTCCCCCGTGGAGCTGGTCACGGCAGCGCCACCTCCCCCCTTCCCGACCCTCCGGCTCAATGAAGCTTTCTTTGCCCGCAGGTTGGAGGCCGAGCAGCTGCGGTCGGGGAGCTGGACTTGCAAGCGGCCGTGGGGCGACAGAGCTGCCTGGGCGGTGGCCCCTGTGGCAGCAGGAATCTTTCCAGCCCCCTGCCCTTCCTCCACGTCCCCAGCTAGGCGGAGTGTAAACAGTCCCACTCCAACTGGGCTACGGGCATGTCTTGCCGGGGGACTGAAGTTCCGAGGGCCTATTTGGCCTCAGGGAGTGAGCAGGTGATGTCACGACCTTCACTCTGATGTCACGTTGAGCATGTGATGTCATAGGCAGCTCCAGCTCCCGGGCTATAGGGCTCTCGGGCTGAAACCACGAAGTTTCTCTAGGTGGAGCCACTTGTGCGATTCTAGGGCTGCGGGTAGGGGCCTGGAGACAGCGCTTTGCCCTGCGTATCTGGGGACCCTTACTCTTTTCCTACTTGATGCACTCCCCTCGCCCTCCATTCTGACTACCCGAAAGCGGACAGCATGTGTGTGGAACGCCTCTCACAGGCCCCGCCCCAGCGCCGCCCCAGCCCCGCCTCCAGCCCTGCGCCCGCCGGGCCAGGAAGCGCCAGAGGAACCTCCCAGGGACATGGACGGGGCTGTGATGGAAGGGCCGCTCTTTTTGCAGAGTCAGCGCTTCGGGACTAAGGTAGTGGGGGGCAGAGGATTCCTAACCCCACGAGGGCCAGAAGTGAGTAAAAGGGTCCAGAAAGAAGGGGAGGGGGCAGCAGTTGGAGAGCCGGTGAGGTTCCTGCTAAGTTGCTCTACAACTTTGGAGAGCATGTGTAGGTTCCAACTATGCCTTCCTTAGTGCTGGAAAGACCGAGTGGCATCTTTCTTGGGTTTGGGAAACTTTGCCCTTCCTTGGGAAGCTTCAGACCCCCTAGTTGGCCTGCACTGTTCTCTCTTTCCCCGCCTGGGCGCATGCTGCTCGCGCTCTCTCTCTCTCTACCTCCCCTGCGTCTCTTGCTGTCTCCCTAGAAATGGAAGAAGACGTGGGCTGTGCTCTACCCGGCCAGTCCTCACGGCGTAGCGCGGCTCGAGTTTTTTGATCACAAGGGGTCGAGCTCTGGAGGTGGTCGAGGGAGCTCGCGCCGCCTGGACTGCAAGGTGATCCGTCTGGCCGAGTGTGTAAGCGTGGCTCCGGTGGCTGTGGAAAGCCCCCCTGAACCCGGAGCTGCTGCCTTCCGCCTGGACACTGCGCAGCGCTCGCACCTGCTGGCAGCGGACGCGCCGTCCAGCGCCGTCTGGGTGCAAACATTGTGCCGAAATGCCTTTCCGGTGAGGGAACCCTTGCTGCCGGCGGCCGGCGAGGGGCTGGGGCGAACCGCACTGGGCCTGAGGGCCATTGCGGTGGAGCAGTTACAGCACCCGTGGGGCTGGCTGGCCCAGGATTCCTCACTCTCTACCCCAGGGCCATACTGTGGGAATTATAGGGTCCTTCATGATCTCTTTACCACAGAAAGGAAGTTGGGCTCTGGCGCCGGTCACAAACCCACCACCTAAGCTTTCTGCCTTGGAGATGCTGGAGAACTCACTGTACAGCCCTATGTGGGAAGGTAGATTCTTGAGAAGTCTGGCAGGGATGGAATGGGAAGGAGTGTTCTTGGGGAGTGGGTGATTAGAGGGTCCAGGACTCACAGAAAAGTTCCTGGAATCTGACTTCCAAATGAGTTTTTGGACACCCTGCTCCGGAGTCCTCTGGATTCTCACCCCTGCCCCTCAGTACATTTCTGCCCAGGTGCCTAATTGTGTACTCCTTCCAGGATCCCAGTTCTGGGTAACCATACAGAAGACGGAGGCCTCTGAGCGCTGTGGCCTGCATGGGCCCTATGTGCTGAGGGTAGAGGCTGAGAGGCTGACTCTCTTGACCTTGGGAGCACAGGGTCAGATCCTGGAGCCGCTTCTTTCCTGGCCCTACACTCTGTTGCGCCGCTATGGCCGAGACAAGGTACAGGAGCTGTCAGGGAGGATGTTCAGGGAGGGTTTCTGGGCTGGACAGTTGAAAGCCAGGTGGGGCAGGAAGGGAAGGCGGGAAGCTCTGCCTTCTGGATCCCCTCTTTCCTTTCACACACTCTGACCCAACCTCTGTCCCTGAGTGGTCTATCTTTGTAGATACCCTCACTAGTTCAGGCTCTGTGACTCACCAGATCTGACCTCCCCATAATCTGCTTCCCTCCATACCCTCCTCAGGTCATGTTCTCTTTTGAGGCTGGTCGCCGTTGCCCCTCTGGCCCTGGAACTTTCACCTTCCAGACTGTACAAGGAAATGACATATTTCAAGCAGTTGAGACTGCCATCCATCAGCAGAAGGCCCAGGGAAAAGTGGGACCAGGGCAAGATGTCCTCAGTGCCAACTCTAATGAAGGGGAGATGACAGAGGGGAAGTTGGCTTCTGCTCCTAACCCCCAGGAGCCCCAAGGCAGCACCCCAGCCCTGTATGCTGAGCCCTTAGACTCTTTGCGCATTCCTCCAGGTCCTTCACAGGACTCCTTATACTCAGACCCCATAGACAGTACCCCTTCTCGGGCAGCAGAAGGGGTACAGGCAAAGAAACCTCTCTACTGGGATTTGTTTGCACATGTGCAGCAGCAGCTGCAGAAGACCAAGCTGACAAACACCAAAGAGGACCCCATCTATGATGAACCTGAGGGTCTGGCCACAGCCCCTCCCCGGGGGCTTTATGATCTGCCTCAGGAGCCCAAGGATGCATGGTGGTGCCAAGCTCGGGTGAAGGAGGAGGGTTACGAGCTCCCCTACAACCCTGTCACTGATGACTATGCTGTGCCACCCCCTCGGAGCACAAAGCCCATCCCAGCTCCCAAGCCCCAGGGCCTGGCCTTCCCTGAACCTGGTACTGCAGCTGGTAGTGGCAGCAAAGGCCACAGCTCAGACACTGCCTTATATAGCCAGGTCCAGAAGAGTGGAATCTCACGGGACTGAGACTGTGGGTTCTCTAGAGCAGGTACTGACAAGACTGGGGTCAAGTCAGAAGGCTCCACCTGAAAAGGTAGCTGACAAGAGGACCATGGGAAGGTGGCATTAAGGATCAGAAAATCCTGTTAGAATAAGCAGGAACCAGAGAGTGGGAGGGTCCTCTTTGGATGTCCTAGGAAGTGGAACAGATGGCAGCGCTGAGGGATGAGCTCTGGGGAACATTGGCACCCTTAAGCCATCCCTATCCCAAAGTAATAGATAGCTGCTGGACCAGGTCTTCTGGAGAAAGGGGTACTTGGTCAGAGTGGGTGCAGAGCCAGGGGCCTGTATGGAAGTTGCCTGGATCCTTACCCCCCTGTATTGTTCTTTGCCAGAGATATATTTTTAAAATTTTAAAGATTTGTATTAAAGTCAGTTTGGGTTTAAGAGGTCTCTGTGTGTGAACAGGCACAGAGGGGACACAGTGGCAGGGTGTGGTGGGTGGGTATGTAGGGATCAAGAGGAGAACCAGAATGTATTGGGGGCCATGGAAGGAGGGAAGGCCCCAGGGAGGGAAGCCTGCAATGTGGCAGTTCGAGACCCAGGTAGTCAAGTCAGACTGACCTTGGCTGGGCTTTCATGCTGAACCTGGATCAGTTGTAGAACATCTGCAACCCCCAGTCTCCCCTCTAGAAAGTGTGAGAACTGATAATGAGGTCTATATTACAGGGTGCTTTGTATGAAATGGATACCTTTCTCAAGTATTTTGTATATTATGAAGCACAGAGAAAGTGGGGTTTTTTTGAATGATAGCTATTATTTTGTGTAAGGAGGGTGCTGACAGGAAGGTGGGCAGGTATGAGAGGAGAATATGAAGGGAGTTGGCCTTTTTCATACCATCCTTTCCCCATTTTTGGCCATATGATATTGTGCCTCCCTCCACTTTGCACATAGGCACCAAGCACCAAACACTTGACCTGAGCTTGAGGGAACTGCAGTGGGGTGGGTATATTAGGAAGGGTACCAGTTCTGGAATGAGGCTTGGATTTCAATCCTTGTTTTTCATGACCTTTGAAATGTTATTCTTGTTCCTGTGTTCTGATTTCCTGAAGGTGACCTGACCGCATGCACCTGTTTACACAGAACTGTAAGAAGAAATTCTGGGCTAGGAATGCTCCTTAACAATGGTGGAGGCTCACTATACATTTAATCTTCATTTGTACTAACAGCATCAAATGATCCAGAAGAAAACGAGAGTCCCTGCTGGAGAAAGGACAGGCTTGGGTGTGTTGAGAGAGGTGGAGCAGCACTGAAGATGGTGGGGTGGGGCTCTGTTTCTGGGTCAGCTTGAGCTCTCTGAGGCTCAAGTGGATAGAAGGCAGATCTGATCACAGAGTTACTTTTGTTTGTTTGTTTTTTTTGGTACTGGGGATCGAACTTGGATCCTTGTGCTTGTGTAGCAGGCAGCGAAACCACTGAGCTAAATCCCCAGCCCTACAGAGTTACTTTGTAAGCCTTGGCATAGACATGGTTGAACAGGGGCGCTGTGCTCTGGCACTCGTGACTCAGGGCTGGGAGGGATACTCTTCCTCTGGTTCCGAAAGCAGGAAGAAGTCTTCTGAGGAAGATTTGCTGGCTGCTGGCATCTTGGGGGCTCTGCCTGGGGCTGGAGTCACTGGCAGGGGGACCACTGTGGCTCGAACTCGGTTGGTTGGCAGCTGCCCAGCCTGCAAATTGAGCAACTAGAGCTTTCTCTGAAAACCATACAGTTCCTCAACACTTTCTTCAGGCTCTCACACTCACTGGTCTGTGTTCCTCATATCTTGTTCACTGGTGGGCATCTTGTCCTCATTCCTTTACACATCCTATCCTTGGAGTGTCACCCTCAAGGCCCAGGCCAGTGCTGTGGAGTCCCCTGGACTGTAGCCTTTACAGGGTTTTCTCCTTGCCCAGTGTCCCTCCCCTGTCAGGTCGCCCACCAAGCTAACTTGGGGTGGGCTCTGTTCCATGGATCTGATCATTGCACTCACTTCTAGATGGGCTGAGTTTAGAAACAGTCTACTCTTGTAATTTTAGCTAAGACAAAAATGGAAGTTTTCTAAAGCCTTTGCTACTGGGAAATTAGGAAAAAATTAGTAAGGGCAAAAGGAAGCCCAAATATAGAACACGAATCTCATACAAATATTTCACCTTCGACTTTTCACTTCAAACCTTGTCACCAGAGCCCTGTCTCCAAGTTACCAACTTTGGTCAGCCTTCCTCTTCCTATCTGTACAGTGAGCACAACACTTACCTTGTTGGGATGCTGGGAGGATTAAATGGGGAAAATATGTAAAAGCACTAATCATAAAACCTGGTACTCTAATCATATGACTGGTGCTCTATATATGTCACTTTCCTTTCCCTTGGGAAGTTCTTTTCCTTATATTCCCTTGGCCTTTTCTTTCAGAGAGGGCTATGGTTGTGATTCCAGTGTAGCCAGTTTGCGTAACGAGAATGGTCTGTTAAGTGACTATTAGAGTTACCATAAACACTACACTTAAAACACCTAAGCATGATCATAGGTAGATGCCTAAGCAGACAAGCCTCCCTACCCAGCAGGAGTGATTTTGCTGGTCTTTATTCCCCTCCTTATTCTCCTGGTTCTCCTTGCCACTTGCAGTGGGATTGGGGAGGAGGCTGTTTGCTCCCATGGGTAAGACACTGTTGGGGCTGGGGCTGGGGCTGGAGGGCTCTCTGGGAATAGAGGGGAGGAAGGGATATGAGGAAGTAGAGGGAAGAAGAAGAGCTGTACCTTTCTTGGGCCCCGGCTCTCCCAGCTTGAGTAGAGCTGCCCACGAGGTTTGGCAAAGGTGCTGCTCAGGTGTGAGTACAGGTGGCTCCAAACCTGCAGGGGGTTGTAGGTGGGCTCCAGCTCCAGGCTGTCCAGTATGCTCTGAGGAAGACAGGAGAACCCTCAACAAGGAACTTGAGGTCACAGAACACAGATGCCCTGAGGAGACCAGTGAGTGTGAGAGGCTGGAGAAAGCACTGAGACTCAGAGCTACAGTAGGACCTGTGAAATAGATGTCCTAGGGGTGCTTTGCCTGAGGCCTGAGTGCTTATGAAGTGTCAGGCAAAAGGACAGAAGTAGTGGTTAGGGGTCTGAAGACACTGGCTCCAGGAAGTGTTTCACTGGGTTCTGAGAGGGGTCAGAGCATCTAGGAGGGTACAAGGGATCCAGTGTGGGCAGCAGAAGGAGGTGTGTCCTCGGGTTACACACAGGGTGGGGGTGCTCTAGTCTGTAAAGTGAGTACATGCAGTTTTTGGCCTGAGGTGAGGTGGTGGTGGGGAGGGCCAAAGGAGCACAGCATTCCTTAGTAGTCAGGTTTTCCGGCCACAACATCCTGTGCCAGGAACCACTGGCCCTGAAGTGAGACACTGAGCGAGCCATGGCTACTCGTGCCCACCTCTCTTTGTATCCCAGTGTGCTGCCAAACTGAGAGCACAATCTCAGGCTCTGTCCTTCTGTATGTCAGCCCTCGATCCAGCACTGATGTGGTTCCAATTCTCCCCATTGAGAGCCTCCCTTCCCACCTCCAGCCTAGGGACCCTAGCAGGGAATACAGATTCCAGATACAGAGAAGAGAGGAGGAGAATCTTCTTTCAGAGCTGTTTATTCCTTTGCATTGGAGTCTTATTTTGAGACACCTTCCTAATCTTTGTGCCAACACTGGCTGTCTTTTTTTTTTTTTTTTTTGGTACCAGGGATTGAACTCGGGTCCTTGTGCTTGTGCAGCAGGCAGCGAAACCACTGAGCTAAATCCCTGGCCCTCACTGACTGTCTTTTACTTCATTTCCCAATGAGTGGAAACAGATGGCCACAAAAACAAGTACATACACATGTGAACATGTACTACAGATAATTAGACATACGAACATACCATCACATGGATGTGCACTGGTGGAGCTACACACTAAGGCTCAGACATGCCACCAACCCAGAGACTCAACACATACACACTTAGGGATACCAAAAACAAACAAAAGACCCAACACACACACACATACACACACACACACGCGCGCGCACACACACACAGACACAAAAATGCATTCAAAGGTTCATATTTCTTGGGCATCTCCTTTTACTTCCTCCTCCTTTCTTTTGTCCTCTGCCTTCCAGCCTGTTTTTTCCTTCCTCTTTTGTCTCTAATGCATTCGTCACCCTTTTCCAACTTCAGTTACCTCTCTATGGTAGAACTGCAGGATAGAGGGGCAGGATATAGCCATCTGATGCAGATAAAACTAGGTCAAAATAACCAAAAACTTGAAGCTGGACCTGCCTGTACTGACTTCTCTTGCCTCCATTCTCCCTTGCTTGCTACCTGGTTTTCCTTCTGAGACACGTCTCCTTTTCTCCTTCATAGTTACCTACTCACCAGTGCTCATTTTACTCGGATTTTAGGGGTGTGTGCGCCTATGCACGCACATGTGTCTCATGCTCTTCCAGGATGGTACTAATTCCCATTTATACCACTGACCTTTTTTTCCTCAGTTATTTCAAACCTTATTTCCCTCAAGTCAGTCTTTTTTTTTTTT